TGCTTCCATGAGCATTGATCCTGGATCCAAGTAAAATGAAATCCTTGACAATTTCAGTCCCTTCTCTGTTTATCATGATGTTTTTTTATTGGCCCAGTTGTGAGGATTTTTGTTTACATTACATTGAGTTATTATCCATACTTAAGGCTATATCCTTTGATCTTCATCAGTAAGTGCCTGAAATCCTCTTTGCTCTCAGCTAACGAAGTTATGTCATCTGCATATCCTAGGTTATTAATGAGTCTTCCTTGCATCCTGATGCTGAGTTCTTCTTTGTACAGTCCAGCTTCTCAAATAATTTGTGCGGCATACAGATTGAATAAGTATGGTGAAAGTTACAGCCTTGTTGTTAAGTGCCATCAAGTCAATTCTGACCCATAGCGACCCTGTATAGGGTTTCCTAGGAGCAGCTAGCTGGTGAGCTTGAACTTCCGACCTTGCAGTTCAAATGGCTTTGCAGTCTGGAGCATTAACCCACAGCACCACATAGCAGGTTATTAATGAGTCTTTCTTGCATCCTGATACTGAGTTCTTCTTTGTACAGTTCAGCTTCTCAAATAATTTGTTCAGCATATAGATTGAATAAGTATGGTGAAAGAATACAACTTTAGTGCACACATTTCCTGATTTTAAATCACACAGTATCCCCTCCCTTGTTCTGTTTGAATGACTGCCTCATGGTCTAGGCGCAGCTTCCTTATGTACACAATTAAGTGTTCTGGAATTCCCATTCTTCATGATAGTACCCACAGTTTGTTTTGATCCACAGAGTTGAATGTCTTTGCATACTCAATAAAGCACAAGAACACATCTTTCTAGGATTCTCAACTTTCAGTCAAGATCCACCTAACATCAGCAATAATATCCCTAGTTCAATGTTCTCTTCTAAATCTAACTTGTATTTCTGGCAGTTCCTTGTTTGTTTCTTTCATTAGACCACTTTTTTCACATGGTCTGCAGGGCTCTGAAGGGTGCAGATTTCCCCAAAGGGATTAACTTTCAGCCACATAAGCAATTGATACATTGGCAGAGATTTACTGACCGTAGAGAGTAAGAACTAAGTGAGATGGAGAAGAAAGCAGAGACGTGCAGCAAGAGCAAGAATTCCAGCTGCCTATTGGTCATCAAAGGAACCCTGGTAATGCAGCAGTTAAGCACTCAGCTTCTAACATAAATATTGGCCATTCAAACCCACCCTGCAACTCAGGTTTTTAAAAAAATATATATCCTATTTTAATTTTAAATTTTGATGTTTTGTACATCATGGATCTTTGCATTAATTTTATTTCACAGTCACTAAAATATAATTTATCTATATTACTGACTTTTGGGGGTGCACCCCCATAAATTTTGCATCCTGGTTCTAGCCAGTGTTTCACTGGTGATTCTCCAGAAGAACTCAACAAGAGACATAATCACAGCTACAATGTATTTCAGCAAAGGATATAGAGCCAAAGTAGCAGGAAAAAAGACATGCTAAGACAATTCAGAGAGGTCCAGTACAGGATACTAATGTCCTCCCTTGTCTGAGACAACACAGGAGGACCCTGGCAGTGGACTTCAGGGATGTGAATAGAATGTCTGTTTAGTGCAGCTGCTATTCCAGGTGCTGTGTCATGGCTTGAGCAAATTTCCAGAGGCAGCATGATCTTCTAGGCTCTCAAGGGTGCAGATCCTCCTAAAGGGGTTAACTTTCAGCCACATAGGCAACTGATACATGGACAGAGATTTATTGACAGGAGAGGGTAAGAACTAAGTGAGATGGAGAGGAAAGCAGAGAGGATTACAATGTTCTAGTGCCATCATCCAGCTGCCACCAAGCTCTGAGGAAAGAACGTCTTTGGCTACACCCTGGTCAAAACCAAGGGAACTACTGATACGGGATATGGTCACTGACAAGGCAACCTAGATAAATCAGGTGACATTTGGGATCTCCTGAAATTAGTGTCAATTTATGGCTAGTTTCCAGTTATCCCCTCAAAGTCTGGTTATTACTTTTTCCCCATTGAATAGTCATTCTAGTAATAGGTTGTAGGTCTTTTGGGGGAAGGCTGGGAGAAAAACTAACCACTGGCAGTGTAGTGGGGTCCTTTCTCAAGGAGATCTGGCCACCCCTTCATTCAAGGGGTTGTGAGTCTGTAAAATTTGCTCCAGTCTGGGGATTTATTGAGAGCTCATGACTCTTCAATCTGGTTGATTCAAGTTAGACTGCTGTTCGCTTGACCTAGAATTCTTTCTCTCTTACAGATAAAGTAAATATTTAATAGATTTCCCAACCATTTTACTCCCAGTATACATCCTGCTTAAATGCCCAATGTCATAAGTCCATATGAGTCAGACTACTGGAGTCCTGGTGTGGCGCTGTGTGTTAATGCGCCAGACTGCAAAGCCATTTGAACTGCAAGGTTGGCAGTTCAAGCTCACCAGCTGCTCCTCGGAAACTCTATACAGGGTCGCTATGGATCGGAATTGACTTGACAGCACTTAACAACAACGTTCTGATTACAGTAGTCCATTACAGTAACCACATCTACCTTGTCTTTGTCGATTAAGTGCTGCCAACTGATGCCTACCCCCACGGTGTCCAATCAGCATATTGTAATTCAGTGTCTTAATTCAATTAGGACAGTTCCCATAGTCAAATCTGGTTTGTGTAAAATAATAATCACAACAGTCTTCAAGGAGGCTTGGGCTTTCTTCACAAATTTGTTCCTCACTGTTGTGATAAAAGGTGTGTCCTCTGGGCATTCCATATGTGGGTTTATAGGTCTATCCTGATAAATCCACTCTAACATGCCAATTTATATTTCTTCCTCTACAGAATACCAAGGCAAGTGTGATAATTCAACTTGATGTATTGTAGGCCACCAAACAATCCATGCTTCAGTGAACCAACGAAATAAACTATCAGATCCCCTCTTAATACCAATAAACTTGGGCCCATATCAATAAACTCAGACTGATCCAAATTTATGTTCCTTGCACCATTACCCCATATCCTTAATCACCATTCTCAAACATATTCTCTAGGTTTCTGTTTGCACATATTAGAAAAATCAAGCAGTTCTTTTGGAGTGTAGCAGACTTCTTCATATGTCACAATTTGTACCTCACCTTTTAGGGCTAGGTGGGAATTAAGCGTAATGGCTATGAATCAGGCTGCAAACTGCAAGGTCAGCTGTTTGAAACTACCAGCTGTTCCGCGGGAGAAAGATGAGGCTTTCTGCTCCCGTAAGGATTTACAGCCTCGGAAACCCTGTACAGGGTCGCTATGGGTCGGAACCGACTTCATGGCACATAACAACAACAACAATAGATCTAGAAGCAATAATTGGTGGAAATGTTTCCTGGTACCATTCAGCAATGGCTTGCAAAACATCTTTCTTAAGTGATGCCCCCAAGGCAATCTCTCAGGCATTATATCAGCAGCCACAGTTTGGTTAATCTCCTTGAGTGTGGACAAAGGGAATCATGGCTCTATTTGTAATGAATCAGCAGACAAATATGGAGTCATCTTTTAAGGTGGGAAGGGTAGTGTTGTTGGCAAGAGTGATTCAACAGAATTTAGGGGCTCAGTGCCCCCATCCTTAATTTCAGTGGTCCCATCATTTCCTAATTATCTGCCTATATGTTCCCATCCTAAGTTTCAGGATCCTATTTGTTCCCAATCAATGCCCTCACTTTAACATCTGACACCATTAGAAACTGGAAAATCGTTCACGTTATAATTCAACCACTCTTACGATGTTGTTGTTGTGTGCTGTGGAGTCCGTTGCAACTCATAGCGACCCGGTACAAGGTTTCCAAGACTATAAATTGTTGTTGTTGTTGTTGTTGTTGTTATTTGTCGTGTAGTCAGTTCCAACTCATAGCGACCCTGTACAGGGTTTCCGAGGCTGTAAATCTTTACAGGAGCAGAAAGCCTCATCTTTCTTCCACGGAACAGCTGGTAGTTTCAAACTGCTATCCCTGAGGTTCACAGCCCGATTCGTAACCACTGCGCTACCAGAGCTGAAATACTCATCTTTCTCCTGCAGAATAGCTGGTAGTTTCACACTGCTGACCATGAGATTAGCAGCCTCATTTGTAACCACAATGCTACCAAAGTAACACTCTATATTTGAGTTTTAGTAATATCATCCCTGTTTCTACAAGAAATAATGTTCCCTTTCAGAGCACAACTGGAAACTGAAGTCTTTCATGCATTGCTTTTATAGCTATTTGCTCACATAAAGATTTAAAGTCTCTAAAACCCTATAGTGGTTTGATATGAGTCCGAATGCATTTGGTTTGGTTTGGTTTGTTGGATCATGGAGAACAGACACACTTCAGGCATTTCTCATCCCTTCCTTGCTGATGTCTCTCTTCAGCGGCATGGGAGACAGGATAGAGACTACAGGTTAACCTAGAACAAGAGCCAAAGAGAAGGATTCTGCAGATATGGTGATGCCTTGCCAGTGCCCATATGGTTACATGCCCTGACCCTCATCTCAATTTCTCATTACTTCAGGCAAAGGTAGACTTGAGATTGTGGTAGAATCTCAACAGCTCTCACGCCCATAAAGTTCCTTTAAGAATAGATTGAGCTGTCTGTGAAATCCTGGTGCCTCAAATGTAAAATGTAAAAAATTCATGTCCCTCTTTCCCAACCTCCAACCTTCAGGCTAGTGCTTCTATTGCTTCACATTGGTCCCTAGCTCCTAGCCAATGAGTTCAGCAGTCTGGATACTTAGCATCTTAGCATCCTTTTCCTGCTCTTTGCTATATGATTGGTCATATAGGTACCCAAGTCCTGCTTATGTTTCTGCTGGGCATTCTTTTCTTGGTACAAGAGGATTATGAGGTCCTAGAGCCATCATCCAGCTGCCACCAAACTCTGAGGAAAGAAAGACTTTGGCAACTCTCTAGTCAAAACCAAGGAAACTATTTGTAGGGGGGTGGTGGCCTATAAATCATCAACTAGGCAACCTAGGTAAATCATGAAATTCTGCACCACTTAGGTAACCGTATTCTCAAGATTCAAAAGAATATTTTGCTGTTATAGAAGTGGATACATGAGCAAACCGGTAAGTGACATGGGATCAAGATACAGTCATAACTGTGGCTTTTACTTTCAAAGAACAGAATGAACCATGATACTCAGAGACAACATTCGTACACAAAAGCTGTTGTCATGAGAAGCGGAATCACTACCTGTAGGGATCATTCTTCCCAAAACATACTGAACATTGAAGTCAGTCCTAGATTTTGTCCATCCCTTACACCTTCTAACACCATTTCTAGCTGCTGAGATCTCTGCCACTGAAAACTGAAATATACAGCCATTCCCAACTTTAGTTTCTCTGTCTCATCCTTCTCTTCAACCACCTAATACAGTTTCCACTAAATAAACAATGAATACTAAAGGTCTTTAACTCCCATATTTAATCAAGATGGCGGATGAAAGATGCACCATTATTTTATATAGAAAAAAACTTCCCACTGAAATGTAACACACCCTCCACTGCAAAACGCATCGTGATTCAGAGATGTTAAAATTTGGGGAAAAGAGTACTATGCTTCTTAGGGTCAATGAATTGCAATGCTATTGCATGGACAGAACTCAGGGAATGGAAAATCACATTTGATTTCAAGAAATCATCTATATAAATCATTGACTGTTGTTGTTAGGTACTATTGAGTCAGTTCCAACTCATAGTGACCCTGCATAGGGTTTTGGAGGCTTTGCATCTTAGCAGGAGCAGAAAGTCCCATCTTTCACCCACAGAACAATTGGAGAGCTTGAACCTCAGACCTTGTGGTTCTCAGTTCAGTGCTTATTGTGTGGAACTACCATCAATGTATAAAAGGACTGAGAAGTTTCAGTGACTACATTTCTTTATTTCCAATACTGCTATGTGTTCTAATCTTAGATTAGGGGAGTATTATGAAGGATTATAGAAATTGTCAAAAAAAATTAGTGTAAGTAAACAACCTTGAAGGGTGTCAGATAACTAAAATATCATGAATTTTGATAAAACCTGTCCAGCATTTAATGTGTATTTATATTTAAAGTATCTTGCAAACAGAAGAAATGAGGAGTAATTTTACAATTAGAAAGAAAACTCAAACTTTCAATACCTTTGCAATATTTGAATACTTCTTTTACCTTTTTTATATTTATTAACAGATTTTTGAAATGTGTGGAGCTGATGCTAACAAATTGGAAAAGAAGATTCAAGAACTCATGTAAACTGATCTCCAAGACAAAATACACTTGGCAACCTTTCCAAAGGTCACAGCAAATGTGTTTGTGTTCTCATTTTTTTTACACAAATATTTTAATGTTTTCTTTGTCTCTTTTCTACGCTTTACAGGTTTAATTCTGTATTGCAGTATCACTGCAAAATTGCTTTAAGTTGTTAAAGCATCCGTGATTGTGTCATTCCCATCTTGGGCTTTTCAACTGCTCTGAGTCATTTATTGAGCAAAGTTTGTATGATCTTCACAACAGAGGCCTTGCACACCTAAATCATCAAGATGGTTTGCTAGAGATTGCCAAGGATGAGATTCTTAACACTGATGAACAAGTAAATGCCTTATTGTCCTGTTGCATTCCAAAAATATGGAGTCTTCTTCCCAGTCAAACTCACTAGCCACTCCTTGGAAATCCTGTACAGGGTTGCTATGAGTCAGAACTGACTCAACAGCACTTAGCAACAACATCAATTCCCCAAATGAACAGTTGTTTGTGGTTCAAAATTCTTCTCCTGTCCATTACCTTATAGTTGAACTATGTCATTTTACTCCCCCACATGGCCTTTCCACAATTTGCCTATAAACAAGTAAAAATTACCTCAAAATCAGAAAGTTCTTTTACTAGCTTTAAAAAAAAAAGTCAGAAAGAAAAGAACTCATTTAGCTTAGATGTAAAGGCAAAGACCAGACGAGATGGCTCCTTCTCATCATTAACTGTATTCATTGTGGGGCTACCTCCAGTTGAAAGCCAGAATCACAAATCATAGGGTAGAAGCAGCTTTCCCAAGCCATTAATGACTAAAAATTTGACAGATCTTAGGGTCCATGGACTTTGCTAGGATTCTCTGAGCTATAAAGTAGAGGAAGTTAGCCCATGATAGCTTAAGTAAAAAGAGACACTCCAGAGTTTCTAGGTAATACAAATAATTAACTCTAAATGAAAAGTTACAGGTTTGGGTTCACCCAGAGGACCTCAAAAGAAAGGCAAGGTGATCTGTTTGTGAAAGAGCAACAACTGAAGACCCTCTGAGACACAGTTCTCCTCTGATACACATGCGGTCACCGTGAGAAACTGGTACTGTTCATATTTCTGAGCACTTACTCTAAGCCAAGCACTGTTATAGGCACCTGAGATAAAGAATGATTTACAGATTCTAAAGGCAGAGATCACAGGCATTTTACATGAGAGATTAGAACTAGGGAGAAAAAGGTTATGGGAAATTCTTGCTTTTCTCTCTTTGTCTGAACTATCTTTTCTGTTGCCACAAATAAGTGTTCTTTATTTCCCAGACCTCATGCTACACAATGGTCCAGGCTAACAGCTCCCAAGCACACATCACTCCTCCATTCAAGAAACCAGATAAAGTATTCTTTCAGTTTGTTTCCCTTGCCTACTATTATAAAATAGACACTTGAGTGGGATAGAAACGAATATCAGGAAACATGATTACAGAAAACTTGTAAGCCCGCCCCCAGCCTATATCTGATTAGAAAACTTTAAAGGGGTGCTAGAACTTGTCCAGTGAAAAAGGCTTCTTGCAGAGCTTTTGTAGGGTCTAAGACCATAGGTGGAATCCTGATCCCCATCCAGAACTTTCTGAGATGGGAAATTCCACTTGAAAAGACAAGCAGACCAGCCTGGAGCAGCTAAAGGAACAGAAGATACTTCTTGAAAGAAAGATCAGCAGGGAAAACTAAAAACAAAAGCAACAGTCTGATTGATTACTACAAAAACAAGCAAGTTGTTTGCTGCGGAGCCATCAAGGTAAGTAATCAAGTCCCTCCAGGACAAACCCCCTCCCAAGAATGAAACTCAAAGGGAACACACAAACAGACATGTAAACTTGCTGGAGACCATGTTGTTCTACTGGTGAGAGGAAGTGGGGGAAAAGTAGCAATGAAGAGGTAGGCTGAGTCTGACCAAGTTACATACACCCCCATTGACTAGGAGTGTGGTGAGAGCTGGTTTGCCTGAAGTACAGTGAGACCTGGGGACCCCTGAGCCCATTGACAAGGACATGGCCACAGAGGGCTAGAACTGAGAATGAAGCATCCAGTTGATATGAAGTGAGAGGATATGAACAAGGGTGCCCAAACTTGCAGATAGTACCACTGGACCTAGCTTCAATGGCTGGATGTTCAGACAGAACCCGACTAGAGGAAGGAAAAGAGGAAAGAAAAAAAAAACAAGTGTCAACTGCTACAATCTGATAAACTTGACCTATACTAATAGATGTGGTGATGGTAGTGGTTATGTGCTATGGAGTCAGTTCCGACTCATAGCAACGCTGTACAGGGTTTCTGAGGCTGTAAATCTTTACGGTAGCAGAAAGCCTCATCTTTCTCCCATGGAACAGCTAGTAGTTTCTTGTGATCTTGTGGTTCACAGCCCAATTCATAACCGCCACACTACCAGAGCTCCTTACAAATAGATGTAGTAACTTAAAATACCAACCAAGAGGGAAAGAAGCTTTACAGCAAAGATAATTCCCATCCCCTCTGTACACAGGGTTAATATGGATGAGCAACTTAGACCATTGGCTCCTAAAATGGGGGAGGGGAGAAGGCTGTAAAGGCACAAAATGACTGGCTTACAAGTTTTCATGAGGGAGTTTAGATTCAGAGCATGCTGAGAAAGAATCCCTTTTGTGGTTTTCATTCTGTCTAGACAGGTCTGGTCAAAGGAGATGAGTACAAGACTCTCATGATTCAATAGTGAGTAATTGTTATCATGACTAATTGTGATTGTCGCAACTGTAAAGGTAGAAGTTTTGTAGCAAAAAGGGGTGACTGGTCGATCTTATAGTCCTAGAGTGGAGGACCCTGAGACCATCAAGGGAGAAGAGTGAGAGAGGAGAGTGGGACCCTACCCAGAGAAGCAGCAATGCCAGAGATGGAGGCAGATATGATGACGACATGAAGAGACGGAACAGCTGAGGATTCTAGACTCATGGTGGGAGAGGGGAGGTGTGCTGGCGGTGGTGGAAGGGGGGTGCCTTTTGGCTATTTGAATGATTGTATATTCCTGAGTGTTTTGGTGCACATCCAAAAAAAAAAATCAAAACAGAGGGACTAGAAGCAATAAGGTTGAATGATTAAGTATGCAGGGGATTGTAATCATTGCAATGAAATGAACTGATATTCCCCTATGTAAACTATCAATCAATTCACAATAAAAACTAAAAAAAAAAATTTTTTTTTAAGTATTCTTTCAGGAAAGACTGTAGTCAGGAGCAGGCGAGATCAATGTGAAATCAGTATGGATCCTAAAGTGGGCAGAGTGGGAAGACTAAAAATATCGTGTTCTAAATAAAAATAAACTTTTTAATAAAAAGTTAAGTGCCATCGAGTCAGTTCCAACCCATAGTGATCCATATAGGGTTCCCAAGGAGCAGCTGATGAGCTTGAACCACCGATCTTGTGGTTCAAACCAACTTTGCAGTCCAGCGCATTAACCTGAAGCGCCACAATTTAAAATAAAAATTGCCATTTAAAAGTACATATACACAGTATGCTTACATATATAAATACTATGAGAAGACAAGGTGTTAAGCACTTTGTATGTGTTGTTGTTGTTGTTAAGTGCCATCGATTCTGTTCCAACTCATAGTGACCCTGTATAGAGTTTCCGAGGAGCAGCTGGTGGGTTTGAATTGCCGACCTTGTGGTTGACAGTCCAGTGCTGATCCTACAGCGCCACAGCAGCACTTTATATGTATTGGTGGTGGTGGTATTAATGCCAGCGAGTTGGTTCTGACTCATAGCGATCCTATATACAGTTTCTGAGGATCGATTGGTGAGTTTGAACTGCCAACCTTGCAGTTCAAACTGACCTTGAGGTCAAGTGTTTATCATATGGCATCACACCAGGACTCCTTCTGACTCACAGAGA